AGAGGACCAGGGTTCAATCCCCAGCACCCACATTATGGCTCAGAACACAACTGCCTGGACACCGGTGCCTGTGCAGTACACAGAACTAAAGGCAAGCTGGGTGTGGTGGGAGGCCACGGCAGGTGGGTACTCACAAGTTCAAGATCAGCCAAAAAACAAAAACAACTAAACAAAACCCAGGCAGGCAAAATACTCATACTCATAGAAAAGGGGTGGAGCTGCCAATGTCTCTAACAGTACCAGAAAAACCAAACCAAACCAACACACAAAATCGTTCTCTGGACTTTGCACCCTATACCTGCAATCTTAGCCCTAGACGGTAGAAACAGAAGGATCAGGAGTTCAAAGCTAACCTTGGCTAAATAACAAGTTTGAGAGCAGCCTGGCTATAAGAGATCCTATCTATCTATCTATCTATCTATCTATCTATCTATCTATCTATCTATTTTTATTTTTTTTTGAGACAGGGTATCTCTGTGTAGCTCTGGCTGTCCTAGAACTCATTCTGTATGTAGACCAGACTGGCTTTGAACTAACAGATTTGCCTGCCTCTACCTCCCAAGTGCTGGGATTAAAGGCTTGGGCCACCACCACCAGGCTCAACATCTGTCTTTAAACACAGAGAGAGAGACTCAGTCAGATAGACATAGAAACTCTTCTGGAAAAATTGTCAAGATGGCCTTGTAGGGAGAGTCTCACCCAAGCTCGTCCTGGTAGGTGATGGTGGTGCCAGGAAGATGGGAAGATGTTTGTCAAGCACTGACTTGAGGAGTATGTAGCCACCTGGGCATAGAAGAGCATCGACTCATATTCCACACCAACAAAGGACCTATAAAGTCCAGCACTCAGGGAGGCAGAGGCAGGTGGACCTCTGTGAGTTCAAGGCCAGTCTTGTCTAGATCGTGAATTCCAGGCCAGCCAAGGCTATACAGAGAAACCCTGTCTCAGAAAAACAAACAAAAACAAAATAAACAAACCAAACTTAACCAACCACCACCACCACCACCACCACCACCACCACCACACAAAAAGAAGGTACCTGAAAAGAGAATTGGTTCCATTCAGAAGGTGTGACAAATGAGATCACTGGCCATATGACCTTACTTAATCTCCAGGTCCCTTTTCCTTAGAGACTGATAGCTCAAGCCCCATCCCTCAGAGGTTCTGATTCACCGATGACTCAGCCTCATCCTGAAGCTATGGGCGTGGCTGTGGACCCTCCAAGGGCTGCCTCAATTTTATACGTGCATATGGGATCCAGAAAGTTCTTGGGAACCAAGACACTTGTATCCCTTGGCAAATTCCAGCACATAAAACACGTTCAATAAATATTTGCCAAGCAGGAGGTACACACAAATAAGGTTCCTCCCGCTGGAGGGGATGCTGAGTATTATCACGTGGGTGAACACAGGAAGTCACGAGAAACCAACACTGTCCTACATTCCAAGCATGGGAGTGACTCGGTGCTCCCCTGTCCGTTACTAAACACCTTGCTGACAATGGGAAGGAAAACTGTTTTCTTTTGAAGCAGGGTCTCGTTACACATTCCAAGGTTCCCTTATGTAGCCCTGTCTGGCTGTGAACATGGGCTATTCCTTCCTCAGCCTCCTGAGTGCTGGAGTCACACGCTTGCCCCCTCTGGCACCATGGCTTATTTACTGACCAGGAATCGGCTTAAGCCATTTTCTCATTGTAAATTAAGAAGCTGATATTTGGGGGCTGGAGAGATGGCCCAGTGATTAAGAGCACCTGCTGCTCTTTTGGAGGACTGAGGTTTGAATCCCAGATGCCTACAGGGCACCTTATGGCTGTATGGAGAGCTCCAGGAGGCTCCAACACCTTTTTCTGTACCCTGCAGGCACAGGGCATGCATATGGTACACATAGAGCAGTGAAATACCCGTATACATAAAATAAAACAAAGCAAAGCTCATAAACATTTTAAGTAGATCAATCCCTTTGAATTCTTTGTCTCCTCTTCCTCTGTTTCTTATTCTTACCATGTAGCCTTGGCAGGTGCTGGCCTGGAACTCGCTATGTAAAGCAGGCTGTCCTTGAATTACAGCAATCCTGCTGCCTCTGGTCCCTGGTGCTAGGATTATAGGCACCTTCCCCAAGGCCAGCAAGAACTTGCTTTATGATGTTAGGTCTCAGAGCCAGGGCCTTACCTCTGCTAGGAAGCGCTCTACCCCTGAGCTGCATCCCCAGCCCTGGCTGGCTTATGTGGCTGCAAAGTAGACACTGCCTGCTTTTACTTTGGTTCCCTTTGTTTTTGATAAAACACTGACCAAAAAGCAGCACAGGGTGAGAAGCACTTGTTTCGTCTTATATTTTCAGGTAACCCGTCCATAATGAAGAGAAGTTGGGGCAGAAACTCAAGGCAGGAACCTCAATGCAGGAATGGAGGAGGCAGAGGCCATGGAGGAGCCTGCTTACTGTCTTGATCCCCAAAGTTTGCTCAGCCTGTTTTCTTATCCAACTCAGGACCATCTGTCTGAGGTAGCACCACCCCCAATGACTGGGGCCCTCCATTAGCAATCATTAGTTAAGAAATTGCCCGTGGGTCCCCACAGGTCAACCTGAAGGAGGCAGCTCCCTTAGCTAAGGTTCTCTCTTTTCAGGGAACTCATTTGTGTCAAGTTGACACTGGCTGAGAGCTGGCCTTGGATTCTGGGAAGTTCTCACAGGGAGATATCGGGACACGCTCTCTGCTTCTCTATTTCTGGGTGTGGACCATGGACGTTCACAACATTTCTTACATAGCAGAATTCCAGAGACACCCCCAAAATGGATCTTGGTGTGACTGAATGTAGTCTTGGGAAGGCCTGTCTAAGATGTGGTTGTAACTGAGGAAGCTCAAGCCTAATTCTACTCAGCATAAGGAAAAAAAAAACAAAAACAAAAAACCAAAACAACCAGCATGTGGGAGAATCAGATCCCGTCTACAACCCAATATATGAATTATCTATTTACTTGTGTGTGCATGCTTGTGCCTAAGTGGTGTTCGTGCCCTGGTATGTGTGTGAAGGGCAGAGAAAACCTTGCAGAAGTCAATTCTTTCCTTTTACCACAGAGGGTTCTGGGAATCGAACTCAGGGCTTTCAGCTTGGTGTCAAACGCTCTCATCTGCTGAGCCATCTCAGTGGCCCTGGAAAGGCTGTTCTTTTGAAGGAAACAGAGAATTCCCTCTCTGCATCTCCTTCCCGTGAGAAGGACAGCCTGCCTCCTTCAGCTTCATTTTCCAGGCAGCCAGGTAGCCTTGTGATTGCTGCGTACCCCTACTCACCTTGCTCGAAGCCTCTCCCTGCCGAATAAGAATGAAGAGTCTGTCTGTGAGGACTGGTTTATGAGAGTCTGGGCCTCAGTCAGGTAGCATGGAGTCACATGCTCTATTTTTATCCGTTTAGCGCTTTCCAGTTGCTGAGCGTGTCAGACAAGCGACCCACGGCTGTGCTGCCCCCTCTGGCCCCCACCACCTCTCAAGTTGACATGTTTGCCCTGCTGCAGCCCCCAAACCACCCCAGAATCTCCTTCTGTAGTTTCTCTCCCTCCTTGGCCAGGAGCTCATGGTCGAAAACCCTCCATGCTGTCTGCAGTCCGCTTTCCGTATTTAAGCTTAGGTTTTACAGTATTTGTTTATGCTTATGTGCAGCTGTGTGTGCCCGAGGGTATGTAAGGGCGACGCATGTGAGCAGGGACCCAAGGTCAGAAGAAGGGACAGACAGTTGTGAGTCGCCATGTGGGTGATGGGAAACCGAACCCGGTTCCTGCAAGAGCAGTGACCGCTCTTAACCCATGAGCCGTTTCTCCAGCCCTACTTCTGTTTTTGTTTTTAAACAGCCTCTTTGGAGACACTAGCTGTGATTACATTCTGGGACTCCTTTGGAGATAAGGTCTCCTGTACCCCAGGCTGGCCTGAACTCCTTATGCGGCTGCTGCTGGCCTTAAATCCCCTAGTCTTCCTGCCTCTCCCTCAGAGGGTTGGGGTCACAGGCATGCCCCACACTTGCTTTATGAAGCCCACGCAACCCAACCCAGTGCTTCATGCATGCTAGGCAGGCAGTTTTCTAACTGAGTGATGTCCCCTAGGATATTCTTTAGCAGCTAAAATTGAGCCAGACCGCTTCTCCTTCGTCCCTCCAAAAGAACCCAAAGGTGACACAACCCTGCTTGCTCTCTCGGCACCGGAGTTCCGGCTCTGTAGTTTCTGAGACCATGGCTTCAAACACTTACTCAGTCCAGCAGCCCTGGAGTTCCCGGCCCCTGGACGGTGCCACCAAACCTTGAGGCTTCCTTCAGTAACTTTGCAAACCTCACACAAGCCAGTTGGCTTACTGTATTCTGCTTCGGTTTAGGTTTGAGGCTGTGGACTGAGTGTAATCCCCAGGCTCTGGACTTGTTCTGGGGAGGGGATCCCCTCATCCCCCACCCCCACCCCTTGGCAAATCCTGGCTTTATTTCATCTGAGGGAAAAGAAAAGGGCTCTTCACCCTGCCCTAGACCAATTGAGGTAAGTAAGATGCTGTGTCAGGAAGCTGGACACAGCGGGAAAGGAGTTCGTTTTTCTTAGAAACAATAAAACCTCTGCCTCCCCCACCAGCACCGAGATGCCCCCAGAATTGGAAAGGTGGCTTGCCAATCTTTATGCATTCAGTATACACTTGGTGAATCTGGCCAACTGAATACCAGTTATCAATGGATGGAGGGAGGGGAGAAAGAGGGAAGGAGAAGAAGGGGAGGAGGAGAGGGCTGGCAATTTTTTTTTTTTTTTTTTTTTTTGCTATGGTTCCCCCACCCCCTTGTTTCTGGTTCTAGAATATCAAGATTGCATATATAGCCAAACAGCTTTGCCAAACTTGGTTTGTCAGGCAATTGCCTCACACGTTCTGGAATGCGTTTTTTTTTTTTTTTTTTTTTTGTCATCCGAGTCCCCTCCCCTCCGCAAGTCCAAGCTATTCTAAGCACTAATTTATTTGTTGTTGATTTCCTCACTCACTTTTCTTCATCCTGTCCTTCGGCCCCCCTCAACAACCTCACCCTCCCACACCCTGTCACCTCACCCCGAGCCCGCCACACACCCAGAGCAGGAGCCCAGGGCCATGATGTTCTCCTGGCCCACAGATCCCAGTCCGGACCACACAGCCGACCCTCCTCGGAAAGAGGGCGAGATCCCCGCCGCTCGGTTTTGTTTCAATGGTCTGTGCAGCTAGCGATGCCCGTTTCCCCAAAGGCTGCCCCTCATTAGCATGAACGGGGGGTGTGGGGTGTGGAGAAGGGGTGGGGGGAGAGGAAGCGAGCCAAAGCCCTCGCTGCGTTTTCCAGCCCGGGGAGCCCTGTCTACCAAAATGACAGCTCGAGCCCTCTGGCTTCTCTGTTTGATCGCCGGATGGTCCCCCGAAGCCCCTGTGGCGGAGAGAAAAGGTGAGGTCGCTAAAAACGCAACGCCCCAGGGACGGGGAAGAGGGCGAGAGGCAGGGCGGGACGAGCCAAGGGTCAGCGCCTACGGGACAGGGGACTCCGGGTCTGCGTGAGCCCGGGAGCAGCGCCTAGGGTCTCCCAAGATTTCATGTCCCCTGGCAGCCTTTCGGGAGGGAAAGGCGCGGGTTCAGCTGCTGAACCGATCGCCCGGCGGGCTGCAGAAAACTTTGCATGTTAAATAGCTGCATCCCGGAGGAGGGAAAGTGTCTAAAGGGGTCGGGGCGAGCTGTGGACAGGCCCCCAGGCTAGGGATGGTGACACAGGCCAGCTACGGCGCCACAGCCCCAGGCATCCTGCTCCTCACAGTTCTGCTATAGCCTCCGGTATACCTGAACCTTGATCACACACACACACACACACACACACACACACACACACACACACACACAC